TTTCGTTCAGTGCACAAAAGGTAGAAGATGGAAGGGTATGTGGTTGGCTGGAGTCGGTATTCGGTTTTGTGGTTGTGACGCAGATAAGCAAAAGTTTCATTCACTTCTTGAGTTGAAGTTGATGCGGAGATGTGGAAATTTTGGCCAAGGAGACAGCAACCAAATCAGAACTGAGAAATCATGTCATTTGGTAACCAGAGCCGCAGCATTTTGATGCTCCTACACTTTCTCAACTTGCTTAAATATTTAGAAATATATTTATATTTATTACTCGTTGAATGTAAACCCTATTTTTTAACAGTGATCTCTCAGCCATGTCCACATCCAATCGAATCCAATTTCCTTCCTGCTTCTCAGCTCTCGGTAATTCAAGATGCCATGGCGCATTTTTCAAATAATTAAATGCTAAACAAGACGGGCAGCATAAAGGGTGAACAAATAAAATAAAAAAAAGAAAGTTGTCGCGACATCATGATACCGAATACCGAAGATACTTCTTCTTATTTTTCTCTCCTTTTTCGACGATGATGATGAAAGTCAAGTCAGTCAAGTTGGTGGCAACTTGAAGCCAACTTAGCCAGTCAGCCGAAACTGTTGCCCGGCCCCAAAAAAAAGGTATGCTGCAATGCCAGCTTTGGGATAAACCTTTATCAAAAGCTGCACACACCCCGCGTGATTATCTTTCCAAGTCAGTTGTTGCCGTAAGGCGACACTTTTAGTGCACTCTCTTCCGTGTGACAGTACACAAACGACAATGGCACAAACGGACAAACGAACAAATGGGCAAAACGGAGACAAACTACAACAAAAAAAGAAGGAGCAGGACGAGAATGCTGTCCTTCAGATGCCAGAGTCCACTGCTTTGACATTTGCCACCAGCAACATTTCTTTCTTTCCCCTTAATCTTTGTTTGGCAAAAGTTTAATGGCGATTTTGGGATTTTTTATACGGTTATTAACTAATTTTTAGCCTACAAAAATCTCACAGAGGTATTACGATAGTTTTATATATATTTTCCTTAACATTTTGTTTAATTTGTCTGCTCATCGTTAGTATATTGTGTCTTTAAGAATTGATTTCCCTTGCTACTGGGGCAGAAATTGCGCATACGCCACGATGTCCGGTCGGAAAAAGCATAGAAGTGAAAAATGGCAAACGCTAAATTGTCTGTCCCAGGGTGGAATGAAAAGTCATGGGAATAATATTAAAATGCTAAGCGAAAGTATAGAAAAAGTAGCTTATTTTAAGGAGGTAATAGTGAACATAATTTACTGAAAAGTAAACGATATTCTGGGTAATTTTTAAACCAAGATTTTCCGAGTTTTAAGAGCCCTTCGAATATATTTAGTTTTCAACTAAAATAAAACCAAATAGAAACATTAAAATGTTTAAAAAACATTCAGGGTGAGACAGGTATAAGTCCCTCATTCAGTTTTCCATGTCGCTGGATTAGTGAAAAACTTTTGTGTCGCCCCTCGACTGGCAGGCAATTGCCGCATTCAAGTATCCTACTTCATTTCACTCATTAAAAGCGGCACACGGGAAGCGGGAATGATGGAATGCCGGCACAATCAGCTAACCAAACTTAACCAGGGAAAGTGCAACACCGTTCTACCATTCCAGCTTATCCTTCCATTTGCACCTGGCAAACACACACATCCTTAACTAGATGGAAAGGTAAAGAGAGTAGACAGCAAGAGGCTCTAATGGCATTTATTATGTGTATCTTGAAAGTATCTATGTGTGCTTGCCGCTGTAGTCAAAAAATGTTGAAACAACATAAGTTTTAACAATTAACTTATCATTATCCAAATTATTGTTGCAAACATGTTTTTAAGCCTCCTTTTTTTTCTCAGTGCCAACAATTTGTTATTCAATAACATTTGTTATTACTAAATTAGCCAGAATTTGTCACACTCCTCTCCGAGGAGGTGTTTGACACACACTTGGCTTTGTTTTCTTTAGTTGCTATTTAAAATTGGAAACGAAATGAAATGCACGCTTGCCTTGCTTTCATTGATTTTACCACTGATTGTGTTCAGTTTAAAGCCATGTCCCTATGGCTATATACTGGATAAATGGGGATGTGTTCGAGACGTTTACCGTGGCGAACAACAGCCGGGCCAGATTATTAAAGGCTTGGGCTTTGAGTCCGTGATCGAAAGGAAAACTACGCGCAAACTGTACACGCTGCCGCCCGTAACTACGACCACCAGAAAACCAAAACCAAAACCAAAGAATGAAACACTTGATGCTGGATCCAATCTAACAAACGATGCAGAAAATGACACAAATGACGACTCTTCGGAGAACAAGCCGCCGTCAAATAGCACAGCGTCAAATAGCACAAATAGCACAAATCCACCGTCAAATAGCACAAATCCACCGTCGAAAGATAAACCATCAAAAGTCCACCATCAAAAGATCCACCGTCAAAGGATCCACCATCAAAAGTTCCACCATCAAAAGACACATCAAAGAAATCACTACGATCCCGCGTAGGAGACGCTTATCTAGGAGACAGAATCTCTAAATATTTCGATCCCGAAATAGTTGTATATGGCAGGGCCGAGACAGAAGCCCCCAGATATTTTCATACAAGAAAAGAATATTCCAAAAGGAACCAAATATCTGGTTATAAATTATTCTAAATAAAAATGTAATATAAATATGTTGGAGAGTCACCTTAAAAAATTTTAAAAAAATAAACTGAAAGCATGGCATATCAAAATGCAAACCATTGTCTTACTATATCTTTAGATTATCGTGGCATTTATAAGCCTGAAATTATAATTTGCAAGCTATTTATCAATTTGCAGGTGTATCAAATGGATTGGCCATGAATTATAAGGGATTATTATGTAAATTGAAAGGTTTAGAAAATTCTGAAATCATGCAACAATGGTGTTTATTGAAAAACAAAAGTATTTGTTTTCCAATTTTAAAAATGATATGGTTATATCTGAAACATAAGTATTTAAAAAGTTAATTTATTTTATTTTGCGTATTACATTATTTATATATATGATCTCTGGGAGATTTTTTAAATTAATATATATTATGTATTTTATTTTAATTACTTTCTCTTACTTTCGGACTTAAGTAAAGTTATACTTAAAGGTCATGAAAACCCAAAAACTCACTAATGGTGATTTTCTCTTTTGATTTTCCAGGTACGTTCGCTGATTTGATGACAATGGGGGAAAGGACACTTGCCAAAACAAATGTCACGTGAGCCACACAAACTTTTCGCTTTCCCCCTCTCTTTCTCTATATTCATATATATATATATAACTGTAAATCCTGACTATAGTTAACTTTTTCCTTTGCCGTTTCTGGTTCATCATGGCAGCGGGCGCACATATAGAAATATTTGGCTAGCCCGACAGCATAATTTTTTTTGTTTTTCTATTCGCTTTTCCTTATTTCCTTGGTTCTTTTATTTTTTTATTTGTTTGTTTGTGCGCTCCACAATTTTCTCTCAACCCGATCCGTGATTTGGCAGCCTGAAATCACGTAAGCCGAAAAGGGGGCCGCGGGGGGCAATAGTTCTTCCGTCATGTGTCTGCGTCTACTTTGCTCTGATTACAAAACCCAACAACAGGTGCACTGAGAAAAGCCATGACCATTGAACATTGATTTTGTTATATATAATCTACTTTCTAAACATTGTTTTTACTGAAATGCTTTCATTTCGATCTTAGAGTAAAGAAGGACAAAAAACGGAAAATTAAATATTCTTTGTTTAGAAAAGGAAAAATTTTCATATGTTAAAATATAGTTTTTTTGTAAGCAAATTATTTTATTATTAAATATTTTATTAGGACTTTAAAAGTAAAAAAGCGTAAGCTTTTATTTTTTTATGTAAGTATTTTCATAGTGCAACAATGATAACCTGATATTTTTTTATATTTATTACTATTTTCCTATTAAATTATTCATTTATTTAAACAAGAATCATACCTTTGACCAAAAGGTTTACAGAAAACCTCTTTACAATATAAAATCCTGCCATAATAATTCGAAATATACATTATATATTAATTTTGAGATTAGTATTGTGTTTGTTTTTTAAATTTTTTTTTAATTTTGTCTTTGTTTTGATCATTAACTGATTTAATTATTTACAAATATTTTTGATTCTTCATTGTTTCGTAGCCTTATTAAATAAAATGTAAAGAATACCAAGAAATATATTAATGTTAACATAAAATATTAATATAAATAAATATAATAATATATATAATATTAATATAAATAAATTATAAAGAATAAATAATACAATAAATATAACATACAAAAATACTTAATTGTCTTCTGTTATGTTCCAAAGTTACATAGATGTTTGAATAGTTTTTTGGACTTTCAATTGGTTGTTCTACGTATAAGTAAGCATATATGTGGAATGATAAAAAAAGTAAATATATTTCCCTAAGTGTAGTTGCAAAAACAATTTGGCAGCCGTCTCGCGCGCTTTGTTAACGCCCCAACGACCCTCAGATTCTTGGGATGTGGATGTCGATGTGGATACGAGTTGCTAGATGCAGTTCAGCCAGTTTTTTATACTCCTGAACCTCGTCCTGCAACGCGTCCTGCACCTCCGTCCGCTTTGCCAACTTTGTTTTAAGTGAAAATTGAAACTGAGCTCAGCAACTGTCCGATGGCTTTTATTTGGTGATTGCTTAGTTGCCGCTGCTACTGCTACTACGGCTACAAAAAAAAAGGAAAATCTTGTAACTGAAAACTCAAAGCAAACGAAAAATCTACGTGACACCAATGGAATGCCAGGAAGCGAGCAAAGGGACTGGGAGGGGGCTAAAGGACATCAGAATCTGTGAAAATAACTAGTGAGGACTTTAGTCTCAATGGAATTCCCTCAAGGTTTTCCATGAGGTTTGTGAAGTTTTGATTTTTTACTTAAAGATTAGTTATAGGGATGTAAATAAGAACTTATGTTTTTATATGATCTACATTTAATTAGATCGGAAAACCCCAAATAATCGTGGTTTAAAACTTTATTCTCAGGATGCATATTTCATCACTTAAAATATACAAAATACAAGATTTTCTTCACAGTTGCTTCCTTCGATAGGCTTATTGTTTCCGATATTATCATGATCAGAGGAGTTCATTAAGTCATAGTTCATTAGTAGAACTCTTTGGAGATGGTTTTGTGGCTTTCTTGGATATTGCTCTATTGATCTTGCTCTTGGGTATTGCCGAGTTCCTAGCTGATTTCCTGACAATACGACTTAGATGCTTCCTCATGGCAATCGATGGCTTTGGCTTTGGCTTTTTCTTCTCTTTGTGCATCTTGCAAACTTCGGTATCATGAAAAATGTCCTCGTGGCAAACGGCTTGACTGCATTTACCGAAATCATGATTGAAATACATCACCTTGGCCTCATCTTTTGAATTGCACTTTCTCGCTGGCATGCTGCAGATCCGGCGAATTGCCGAAGGCCTCAGGACTTTAGGACGATAGGATCTTTTGGGAGCAAACACAGGTTCATCCACTTCCTGTTTCGGTTGCATCACGACCTGTTCCTGCTCCTTAACTACCTGTGATTGTCTTAACTTTAAACGCCTTGCGTTGTTCCTACCATGTTGACTGTTCAGAATCGTCTATAAATATATATATTTTTATATATTATGATGAAATCTGCGTGAATACCCAAAACTCTTTTTAATAGCAAATCTCACCTTTGGCTTGGCATTGTGGTCGGCCGTCATGATTTTTCTGGTTCCCAAAGTACACAAAAAATATAATTTTTAACAAGAATCTTCTAAAAGTTACGTGCTCTGCGAATTTTCTCAGAAGTTTTGGATTCGAAATTTTTTAAATGACAAATGACAAGAGGATAACCAAATGTTTCGACGTTTATATTTGATTGTATCGTCAAAGCTTGCTTGGGACTCAAAAAGGAAGTAAAGAGTGCAAGTATTTGTAAATACAATAAAATGAAATTATTTAGAAAGGATGCACTTTAAGCGCTTTTCAACACTTTGTGAGTGGGGATCCTGCGAAACGCAGGACCTCTGTAACTCGAACTCTTCGCCCCCGTTTATTGACTTTCAAGCTCAGTTTACCTTGCCGACGCTGTTTGACTTTGAGCTTGGCCAGAACTTGCTGGCCCCGAAGCTGCTCTGCCTGCTCCAGGCCAGACCTGGCCAGGTTCAACTGCTTGAACCTCCAGAGCGGAGTTACCGGGGAAATGTTTTATGCTGTGCACGGTAAAAATTCACATAATTGCAGTTGGAATTCAACAAACAACAGCAGGAGCGTAAATAGAAAGCGCAGAGTCAACAGAAAAGCGATAGGTGGTGGGGTGGGGAGAGGAAAATCCGGGCTGCAGAAGAAAAGCTCTAGAAAATCAGGGATAGAAAGGAGCTGTGGATAGAATCGGCAACGTCACCGCAGCGCAACAACAGCGGCCAATACAAACAGACAAACTCACCTTTGACCCTCCACTTCAGGTGCCCCAAGTAATTGCAACTGAAACTGAAACTTGGCCAAGTTGCCAGCGAAACGGATTGCAGCTTAAATTGGACCTGAAGGTGATTGTAAGGGGGATATATCTATATAAAGAAAGGGGAGGTGCAGGACGCAGGATGCAGGATAAATTAAAAGAAATCAACGGGAAAGGTCGCCAATATAAGCAGAGATAAGCAACAATAATAATAGGGGAACTGCAGTCTTTCGTTGGTTTTAATGAAAAGCCTTAAGCTTCTGCTGATTGTTAATTATAATGCCAATATATATATAACGTAGTTGAAATTACATTATCTACATTAACAACTGAAAGTTGTTATTAAATAAGACATCAAATAAGACATGCTTTAGGAATATTATAAAACTTACAAATAGTTGTTTAAATATGTGCTTATTATAGACAGCATTGTGCGTTTACTAATGTTTAAAATGCTGCTCACTTTTTCGGACCAAGATAGTCTCTGTGTTAATATCAGTAAAGCAGCTTATGCTATTTTAAGCGGTTGTTAAATAAAAACTATAAATCCTTTATATGTATTAAATATTGTTATTATAAATGTAGCAATACTAGAAGACTTCTTTGTGTTTTTCCCACCTGGGACACACAACATTTCAATATACCTTGGCAAAAAGTATTATAATTTTAAACCCAAAGTCATGCATTTCAACATATTGTATATAATTTTTGACAAAATAAGCAACCGAGTCGATCTAGCCATGTCCGTTTGTCCGTATGCCAACTATTTTCTTAGGTTTACAAAATTAAATAAAATTGCTGGTAGTTTTCTGCAATCCTTTTCATAGAAATTATTGAAAAATTGTGCGAAAAAATACATACCCTTGTTTTTAAATACATTTTCCTCTATTCAGATATAATACCATTGTTAGTGATTAATAAATAATCGAATTTTCCCACAAGGTTCTGACAAAAGAGCAATAAAAAATAACGTTAAATTACTGCAAGGGTATCCACACTTCTGCTTGCCAGAGTTAGCTTTCGTTCTTGCCTCTTTTTCCTTTTTTTTGTGTATATTTTCCCATTGCCCATCTGAGTGTGATGTGGTGACCTTTTACCGAACATTTTCGCCATTTTCAGTATTTTTCTTTCTTTTTGTTTTTGCCCCTCGTCCGCAGCAGTGAGTATGTCGCTTTTTCACCCCTTTCATACCATCAGTTTTCCACAATTTTCTATTCTTTTTTTTTGAAGAGAAGAGAGAAAGAGTGTGTGCCTGTGTGTGGCTTCCTGCGATCACTGTTTGTGTTTTCCGAGTACTTGGTTATGGTAATCGAATTTCGAATTATTGCCCTGAGCTATATAGTGAATATATCTGGCTGGAGAGAGGTAGGGGTTGTAGGGGAAACCCCGTGAATATGTCGCTTTCTTCTTTCCCTTCTCATTTTCTTTATTTCCCCTTGCGCTTTTCCTATGCCAAAAAAAGTTTTTGTTTGTGGCGGAAGATGAATCTGTTTTTTTGGTCTTTATATTTTGGGTTTTGGTTCTGGCTTTCCTTTTTTTATGTTTTTGTTTTCGTTTTGTGGGTGGGTGGGTGTGTATGTGTTTTCCGAGGTTTTTCCTGTTTTCCGCCATCATCGTGTTGCTGCTGTTGTTGCTTACATCCTGTTTTTGGCGCGCTTTGAATATTTTGCGGTGCATGTTTTGTCTTGCAATAATTTAATTGTCGGATTTGGCAGCTTAAAAGCAGGCGGAAAATGTGGGGGCGTGGCAGGTGTGGGGTGTGGGGTGTGGGACGAATGTTTGCTTGTTTATTTGTTTGTTTGTCCGTTTGTCCATCCGCCAGACTGCCTGACACTTTGTGCTATATTTATGTTGGATTTGGCTTTCTGATGTTGTTTTCGGCGTTTGTGTTTTGTTTTCTTTTGACAAATTGCCTAAATTAGTTTGCTCAAGAGTGATTTTTTGTGACTGCCACCGGAATTTACATAAATCATTTTGGCACCTTTAATTTCTAGGTGAGTTCGCTAAGTGTTGATAATAAAAACAAGACTTTACCCCTTGGTAATGTTGCTTTTCCCCCTAAAACAAATAAATGAACGATCTGCGACTAGGTTAACAATGATCATTTGAAATTGTTTAGTTCGCCTGCTTTTAATTCAATTCAACTTAAATGCTGAATCGGTTCTGTCCGTTTTCTCTGATCTCAGCAAGCCGAATGTTCGAAACTTCATAACCTGTTACAGTTCGTCGGCTCTACAAATCATTCCAACGCTACAGCTCCGACTGGTAACAACACAAAAAGTATTACTAAATATTCTAGCCGAACTCTGAACTAGTAAGTGAAAAGTGTATCGGAAAACTCTCAAAAATTATTCGAAATTATTCCGAAATTTAGTTTTGCTGCTTTTGAAAATATCGCGAATATTTTGACTTGTGCTTAGGACAGAGCTGCTCACACAGAGCCTTTCAAAGGCACTCTTTCTCTCTATCTTTGTGTGTGTGCAGCTACTGTGTCCTGGGTTGTTAATTATCCTGGAAATTAGCTTGTAAATTATCCCCTGTTCCAGGTCACAATGGGCGAAGAAGGAGCACCTACAACCGCGGCCCCGGCGAAGACGACAGCGAGTGGAGCAACCATGATGGCGGTCAGTCCGTGGTTGACCGCAGCCGTAGTTGCCGCCTATGCGACCAAGGCCATGTGGGTCAAGTTGCGCCGCGTGGGATCATCCACTCTGCAGAAGAAGCAGAAGGTCCTGATGAACGATCCTCCTCTAGAGCTGCAGGAGAATGAAAACGTATCAAAGGACCACGAGGCAGAGGCAGAGTCTGGAGATGAGTTCGAGGGAGCTCCAGCTGTTGTGCAGGATGAGATGCTAAAGCACTTTGAATCGGACGCCGGACCCATTTCTCGAATGATCGAATTGTAGCCTTCGTTAATTGTTCAAATCAAAGGATGAAGACACATCTACACTCCACAAAACACAAGATGATTGACACATACACAAGACGATTGTAATGCTTGCGATTTCCATAGGGGAAGAAAGCCATTCAAATATGCGGGGACCATCAAATTGTTAGTGTTTAAAAACATTCCAAATTCATGACATTCCGGTTTTGTAAATATGATGACAAGCGATAACAAGCTGAAAATATATTTAGTCTTCAACCTGCAGGAAACTAAGTCTTGGGGAGGAGTTTTTGGGCAATAAGTGGGTTGTTTGGCTTAAATCCTTCTGGTTTTGTGTGAGATGCTTATTAACAACATGTTTGGCAAAATCTGAATAGATGCAAATGTGGCTAGCTACATGTTGAACACAAAATGCTGCATAAACTCAATATTATTAACCGATTTTACTCAGAAAACTAATGAGGGATTTATTGTGGTTTTTTGTGATTTGTAAGGTTGTACATGGAAATGAAAAAGGGGGAAATAAAATTGATCAGAGCGAAAATTTAGTAGCTTTAGCTATTTTAGTCTCGGATATATTTTGTAACATGGCTATATCGACTGGGTCAGTGATGCTGGTCAAGAATATATGTATGTAGTTCATGGGATAGGAGAATCCTCCTTCTTTTTGTTGCATTCATTTTCACCTGACTCTTAGCCATAGCCTTGTTTCCTAGCAGAAGAAATCTCTAGAACATCAGGGATAGAAAGGAGCTGTGGATAGAATCGGCAACGTCACCGCAGTGCAAGAACGGCGGCCAATACAAACAGACAAACTCACCTTTGACCCTCCACTTCAGGTGCCCCAAGTAATTGCAACTGAAACTGAAACTTGGCCAAGTTGCCAGCGAAACGGATTGCAGCTTAAATTGGACCTGAAGGTGATTGTAAGGGGGATATATCTATATAAAGAAAGGGGAGGTGCAGGACGCAGGATGCAGGATAAATTAAAAGAAATCAACGGGAAAGGTCGCCAATATAAGCAGAGATAAGCAACAATAATAATAGGGGAACTGCAGTCTTTCGTTGGTTTTAATGAAAAGCCTTAAGCTTCTGCTGATTGTTAATTATAATGCCAATGTATCTGTAACCAGCTCAACAACCAAGTGGAACTTACAAATATATAAAATGCAGGTGAAGATGGCTTTTAGTATACCTTACAAGGATAGAATTTACTTAGAAAAATATACAGAAATTTCCACCTTCGTGGATGAGAGGTACCCAGAAATTGTTCAAGACGAGAGATTGCACATGCAATTTAGTATAACGAATTAAAGCCGAGCGAGCGTAAAGACAACTCGGCTCAAATGATCATGTATCTTGATTACAATTTATAAAAGTTTTCAATCAAGTACTCCATTTTTATATTTCAACTTAATGCTTAAAATTCCTTTAAATTTGTAGATATTATAATAACCAATTGGAAAAATGTAGAGATAGAGCCTAAACCCTTTCCATGTGACAGATCACAAGGATATAGGATAATACAATGTATTCCCTCTCTGCCTCTAAAGAAACAAATCAGAATGTAGGACACGTTTTCGGCAGGTTAAAGTCTAGATATATTAACAGCTTGTCATCGCAGCAGGTAGTTAATTACAAAACCGGAATGTCATGAATTTGGAGTGTATGTTTTTGAACACTAACAATTTGATGGCCCCCGCATATTAGGCGGTTGCTCTTGAATGGCTTTCTTCCCCTATTGGAAATCGCAAACATTACAATAATCATCGAGTGTGTGTGTTGTGTGTAGTTTAGTGTTTCGTGGAGTGTAGATGTGTCTTCATCCTTTGATTTGAACAATTAACGAAGGCTACAATTCGATCATTCGAGAAATGGGTCCGGCGTCCGATTCAAAGTGCTTTAGCATCTCATCCTGCACAACAGCTGGAGCTCCCTCGAACTCATCTCCAGACTCTGCCTCTGCCTCGTGGTCCTTTGATACGTTTTCATTCTCCTGCAGCTCTAGAGGAGGATCGTTCATCAGGACCTTCTGCTTCTTCTGCAGAGTGGATGATCCCACGCGGCGCAACTTGACCCACATGGCCTTGGTCGCATAGGCGGCAACTACGGCTGCGGTCAACCACGGACTGACCGCCATCATGGTTGCTCCACTCGCTGTCGTCTTCGCCGGGGCCGCGGTTGTAGGTGCTCCTTCTTCGCCCATTGTGACCTGGAACAGGGGATAATTTAGAAGCCAATTTCCAGGATAATAAACAAGCCAGGACACAGTAGCTGCTCACACACATAAACACACATAGAGAGTGTGGCTTTGTGTGAGCAGCTCTGTCCTAAGCACAAATCAATATGTTCGCGATATTTTCAAAAGCACCAAAACTAAATTTCGGAATAATTTCGAATAATTTTTGAGAGTTTTCCGATGCACTTTTCACTTACTAGTTCAGAGTTCGGCTAGAATATTTAGTAATACTTTTTGTGTTGTTACCAGTCGGAGCTGTAGCGTTGGAATGATTTGTAGAGCCGACGAACTGTAACAGGTTATGAAGTTTCGAACATTCGGCTTGCTGAGATCAGAGAAAACGGACAGAACCGATTCAGCATTTAAGTTGAATTGAATTAAAAGCAGGCGAACTAAACAATTTCAAATGATCATTGTTAACCTAGTCGCAGATCGTTCATTTATTTGTTTTAGGGGGAAAAGCAACATTACCAAGGGGTTAAGTCTTGTTTTTATTATCAACACTTTGAGGATCTAGGCGAACTCACCTAGAAATTAAAGGTGCCAAAATGATTTATGCAAATTCCGGTGGCAGTCACAAAAAATCACTCTTGGGCAAACTAATTTAGGCAATTTGTCAAAAGAAAACAAAACACAAACGCCGAAAACAACATCAGAAAGCTAAATCCAACATAAATATAGCACAAAGTGTCAGGCAGTCTGGCGGATGGACAAACGGACAAGCAAACAAACAAACAAACAAACATTCGTCCCACACCTGCCACGCCCCCACATTTTCCGCCTGCTTTTAAGCTGCCAAATCCGACAATTAAATTATTGCAAGACAAAACATGCACCGCAAAATATTCAAAGCGCGCCAAAAACAGGATGTAAGCAACAACAGCAGCAACACGATGATGGCGGAAAACAGGAAAAACCTCGGAAAACACATACACACCCACCCACCCACAAAACGAAAACAAAAACATAAAAAAAGGAAAGCCAGAACCAAAACCCAAAATATAAAGACCAAAAAAACAGATTCATCTTCCGCCACAAACAAAAACTTTTTTTGGCATAGGAAAAGCGCAAGGGGAAATAAAGAAAATGAGAAGGGAAAGAAGAAAGCGACATATTCACGGGGTTTCCCCTACAACCCCTACCTCTCTCCAGCCAGATATATTCACTATATAGCTCAGGGCAATAATTCGAAATTCGATTACCATAACCAAGTACTCGGAAAACACAAACAGTGATCGCAGGAAGCCACACACAGGCACACACTCTTTCTCTCTTCTCTTCAAAAAAAAAAAAAAAAAAAAAAAAACAGAAAATTGTTGAAAACTGATGGTATGAAAGGGATGAAAATGCGACATACTCACTGCTGCGGCCCAGGGGCAAAAACAAAAAAAAATACTGAAAATGGCGAAAATGTTCGCTAAAAGGTCGCCACATCAGACTCAGATGGGCAATGGGAAAATATACAAAAAAAAAAACGAAATGAAAACGAGAGCGAAAAAAATGGCGGCCAAAAAGCCTAAACGTGAATATATCAGAATTTTTGAGTAAACATGGCTCAGACTGACCACAAACTAGAAAAATAAACCAAAGTCCTTGTGTGTGCTGAAAAAACACAATATCCTGGAAAACTGCACTGCTTGACACCAATTGGCCCTGCTTCCAACTGCTTTAATCTAACCTAACCTAAAAACTCTTCAAATCATTGGTATAACCACCCTGTTCTTGACCACTTTGAAGTCTTAAGATGAGCAAAGTTTGCTTGTAGTTAGAAATCGATATAAAGCTCAAATCGGTAATATCTATGTATGTATGTGTATATATATAGCACCCCTTAGCTATCTTTCCCTTCGCCGATTTCAATTACAGCCAATTAAGCGAAAAAGCGACAGAGACAAAGAACCTCACTTACAAAATGGCAACACAGAAAGCCAAAAGATGTTCAGGCACACGAACCTAAGGGAGGGCCACCCACAACCCCAACCACCCCCAACACACTCACACACACACACACATGCATCCATAGCTGCTGGCATTTTGCACCTTTTGGCAAAGGTAAAACTTTTTATCCACTTTTCCACTCGCGCTTTTCCCTCCACCCCTCCCACAAAACGAAAATGTTAAAACAAACAAACAAATAAATTAGTGTTCAATCAGCGTAATTTCTTCGACTATGCAGTCTGGCTGCCATGCCACGCCTCCTCCCATTTTCCTCCAAGAGGGAAAAGCGGGAAAATCCAGCCAAGCATGTTTGCCTTTTGTCTTAGGGCTTGTGATATGCGATTGTAACTTGGGTTTCAATTGCAACGCCCGTTGTTGGACGGAGTTGGAGGTGGCTTCTGTGCAAACTTTGCACCCTGCAGTTAGTTGTAAGTAATTAAGCGAGGAGGAAGCAGAGAGCCTCGGGGGGTTAATTGGGGTAGGGGGACTTGGGCTTTTTGGGGGGTTAAAACAAACGAAATTTTCGGTAATTTGCTTAATTTGAATTCGAATAGCGGTAGCGGCGATTGGAATGAAAAATAAGGCAAAGGAAAAGTTTAATTCAAATTAAAGGAAATAACGAATCGAGAAAAGGTGCAAACGAAATTTAATTAGATAGAGCGAGACAGAGAGAGAGAGAGAGAGCAAGAGTGCCACGACCATAAAAAATAATGTTTAAGTTTCAGTTATTCTTAAAAGAAACTTGTTAAGGTGAAAATTTATCTCTTAATGTATTATAAAAATAACATAAAAAAATTAAGAAAAACTTAAAAATTAACTTACTAATTAATAACAACAGAAATTGTTTGATAATTTAAAAAATAATAATTAAATAACACAATAATAAATAAAGAAAGAAAACAAAAAATTAATTAATTTATTTATAAAAATATAAATAAACAAAGATCATTTGCTGATTAAAAGAAATAAATAATCAATAAATTGCACAAAAAAATAATGTACTATTTATTCAATTAAATTAGCTTTTTTAAGCTTTTATTTTATTTTATTTATTTATATTTTTTTGTTATAAAATCTTTCAATAATAATATTTGTAAATGTTTCACAATTTATTATATGAAATCATTAAGCATTTATGTCATAGTTGTATTTCAAACAATTTATGCCTTAAACCGTGGATAATTTTAAAGTTTAAATTTAACTAAGTCAAATAAAATATACTTGCCTAAATTTAAAAAATTAAATTAAATGAACAATTAAATATAGCTTCTTCTAAATGGAATCAAGCACGACTTAGTGCCTATACAGAGAATACAAATTTATTAACGATAAAAAATAAAGTATTTTAAGTAAAATTATTAAGTCAATTTTAAAGTAAAATAATACAAATATACATTTCTGTATTTACATTAAAATTAATTGAAAGCGTTTGTTCTTAATTAATTTATTACATATAAATTACAATTTTGAAATTACTTTAAATAAATAACAAAAGAAACGCATATAATTTCGGGAACTCTAAATTTATATACCTCAAAACTGAGTTAATTTCCAATCGGAAAGCTTTTCTGCTCTAGTTTTTATTACATTTATAAATTTGCATAAATAAATTTATAAATTTGCATAAATAAATTTATAAATTTTTGAAAATTTTTACGATGTAACCCCTTTTAAAATTTGAAAAAAAAATAGGTAAATTTTATTTTTCTCCAGGAAATGGCTAGATCGGCTCGTCTTTTGATGCTGATCAAGAATATATATGATTTATAGGGTGGGAAGTAACTCCTTCATTGAAAAACCCACCTTATAACCCCATAATGAACCCTTGAGCTCTTTTAAGCAGTTTACAAATTACACTCAAATTGAGCATGTAGCCAACCCCCATTAAAAGTGGGAACACTTGTTTGGCGCTCAGGCACTCAACGGCAGACTCCACTGAGCTGAGTAAAAGATCTCCATTTTGTGGAGAGAACTCTAAAGTTGAGAGTAATTGCGAGTGAGAAGTGACGATGGCGCCCACGCAGTTGGCAGGGAGCCTTCGTTACTCTTTCGGGAGTTTCGTAAGAGAGCGGCTGACTCAACAACTGCCACTACATACGTCATGACGATGATCTGATCTGGAATTCTGATTACCCCCTTCTTCCCCCGCCTCCCCCTGATTCACGCCTCCTCAGCTTTAAACTGGTTTGGCTTTTTGGGTTTTCGGCTGGGTGGAGGTGACTTTTGCTTTGATTTATGCCAATTTATATGCATTAGCCGGTCTCTTGAAGCGATCGCGTGCGATCTTCTTGTTCTTGCCGTTATTTCTAATTAGATTAGGGTGGGACTTGCTCTTGCTGCTGCTTTCATTCTCGCGCTCAGCTCTTGCTCTCTCTCTCTGATCTCCTCCCGGGTCTGCCAATCCCTTGTTCCCATTCTTGTCGACCTCCTTTTTCTTTTCCTTGCTCTTTTTTTTTTCTTTTTTGTCTTTCCTTTTTTGCTACTGGCTGCCACACACACACACACACACACACACGCACAGAACCCAGTAAAAAAGCCTTGAAACACGTTCTCGAAACGAATCGGAATGGAAAGGAACGGTGAAAAGGCGATCGGGGGAACGGCGATCGTGGGGAACGGAACAAGGAACAAGGCGCAAAAGCAAAGCTAACAAAAAACAAAAAGGTGTAGCAGAAACGAGAAGTAAACCCGTTTCGATGCCGGCTCCCCAAACTGATTTACCTACACAACTTCTACTTCCACTTCACACACACACACACACGCACACGCACACACACACAACTGCCACTGCTCTGAACGCGGCACTCGAAGAAACGCGGAGGAGCTTGTTTCACAGCAGAACACACAGCATCCACACTGGGAGAAAAAGTATAGCAATTTCAAGAAAAATAAGGCTTAATGAAAAATGGAAAGTAATTGAAAATGCAAAAGATCTGAAAATATTTAGAAATTAAATTAAATTAAAATTAATTAAATTAAATTATATTTAACAAAAAAAGTTTAACAATTTAAAATATAACACAATGAAAATATTAAACTATTAGTTCTTAGTTTTTATGTTATTCGTTATTTAATCCTTTTCCTCCATACATTTCTTTTATATTTTTTGTTAGTTTGGATTTTTTTTTAATAATTTGGAGATAAAAACATTATTATTTAATTAAAAAAAATAAAGAAAACTTACTTTGGAAACCCCAAAGTTTATGTATTTTTCCAGTTTTCAATTCAATTATAGGATAAAATCGGAAATCGATCATTAAAAATCCTAGAATTTTCGTATATTTTTAAATATGGTTATTGTTAAATATAATTTAGATATATTTTTCGATATTTTAATATGACAAT